AAGGATCAACAGAAACGGACTTCTATTCTTTCAAAAATCACGTGCAAAAATGGTGGTTATAGGCTTCGCGCACCATAGTCAAATTTACAAAAGAATATGGCAATAAGGTACACAAAATCTGTGAAGAGAATAACTTGTAATCTTTTTGAATGGGAGGGTTTTTTTTGAATGACTGTTCTAGGACCTCTTTGAGTGCTTTGCAAAAAAAAGAACTATGTAAGTGTGCTAAAATTATTCTAGTTTAACTTGAGATAAATTAGCTAGACTTTTGAAATTGGTCAAAGAGCACAGTTTCAAGTAGAATTTTAGAGGGGGCTAAACAAATCAGTTTAGATTTTTATGTTAATTTAAACTATATTATAAAATCACATGATGATGCCTTTTTTTATATGATATTTTTCAGTGTTTCGCATAAATTAAAAAATTAATTTAATTTTACATAGCAGAGAAGGTTGATTATCCAATCAGTAATTCAAAACATCATTATTCTTTCCTGAAAAGCAAATAATTAATTGTTTCCCTTCAATTAAATAAAATAAAAAGCTGTTCATTGTAATCTTGCATTCTAGTAAACAAACAATTGCTTGATGTTAATACTCCAACCTTATGGAGGAATGAATCCATTCTATTCTGAAAACAACATTCAAGTATTGATTAATTGTTTATTGGTAGAAGGTAAGACTTTCTTGACGCAAAATTAAATTTTTGATTGCTGGGAAAACCACCATCATGCGTTGAATTTTATTACCAATATATTTGGACGATTAGCAAATCATTCAACAACTATCAGAACTCTTATTTCAGACGTGACTGGTTGGTGAATCATTCTAGATTTGATACTTGTTTGAAGAATCTTTATGGATTAAAATGTTCTTTTTTAAATGGAATTTGTCTTCTTTACATGACAAGAATGTTGATTACAGTTTAGTCAAAAAAAAAATCAAATTCTTGGCTCAAAAGAATAATCTTGTTTTTTCAGATAATTTCAAGGATGCATCCAAATTCAATAATTGATTATTGGATCCTTTAATCACTCGCTCCCTGCATTTCAAAATTTAAACATTTATCATTAAGGGGCGTTAAAAACAAAAGAAGAAAAATAAAATCAATTTTATTTCCAACACTTGAAATTTGGATTCATTGATTTTTTTTGAGCCTTGTATTTTCGAAATTCTCGACTATTAATATGATCATCAGTATTCATGGGTCAATTGGAAAAGTATTGATTCAACAAAGTGAAACAGATCAGCAGCAGCTAACTCATCTATTCAATAAAAAGTATCAACTCTAACCCGATTTATTCAGATTATATAGCAGGTGGTGGATGATAAAATATTAAAAGCTTTGAATCAATGCCTACCAAAAAAATTTAAAGACCATAATTTTGTATACAGGTTACTATTTCCGATAATTCTTTAGGGAATTCTAGAGAAGAATTGGAAAGGTACTAAACAGCGATGCTTTATATTGAACATTTTTGGAAAGAAGCAAAATATGTGTTATATTAAAAAAATCAAGCAAGATCTAGGATTTATAAATTACGAAATTACTTATTAAATTTATTAAAGTTTTGATGTCATTCCTTTTGCAGTTTCAAAATTCGCAAATTTCACGTTCAAACATGACATAATCTGGATTATTATAAGATTTAATGTCATCATGAGGTGGATTATATAAACAAAGAAATTTTGTGAAATCATAATTTGTCAAATAATAGTTAAATTTATTATAAATCAAATAAATTTCTTTACTGAAAAAAAATACATCAATTTTCTTGATTTTTTAATTTTAATAGGATAATAATAATAATACTAATAATAATAATAATAATAATAGTAATAGTAATAGTAATAGTAATAGTAATAATGAATATGCTTCCACCAGTAACCGTACCAACTTTCCTTCAACCTGTTATTCAATCATGGGTTGCTTGGCTCTCGTTTACATTTATTGCAATTCCGGTTTCTACCTTTTTCTTGATTTGGGATTTCCCAAAATCTATTTGGCGATTGCTCTTCTCTGATTATCCTAAAGTTGTTCTGATTACTGGTGCAAAGTAAAAAAAAATTAGTTTAATTAAGTTACGTGTGTGTGTTTTGTTTTATTATTAATTAACGTTTATTTATAATAATACGATAATTAGTTCTGGTATCGGAGCAGAACTTGCACTTGCCTATGCAAGACCAAACACTACTATTGGACTTATTGCTCGTGATAAAGGCACAAATATATTTAACTTGATTCAATAAAAATTTTGTCTTTCTGAAATATAATTTTATTGATTTGTTCTTTTTTTTAAAAAAATAATCATAGATCGTTTAAACAATGTAGCAACAGCCTGCAAAAAAAAAGGTGCAACTATTCGCGTAATGTCTTGTGATATTACTAATCTGGAAGATTTAAATAGAAACATCGATGAGTTTGATGAAGCTAATCCGATTGAACTATTGATTGCAAATGCAGGTAAATATATCAATTTATTCATTTTAAAAAGAAATTATTGAATACGCGCGTACGAATAAAAATTGATTATTGATTGACTAATTAATAAATAGCCCAAATTGGCATTACAACTGATCAAGAATTATCCGATCAATGGGAAGATTTATGGCATAGGTATCGATCATTGCATTTTGAAAATATTGTCTAATATGATTAATATACAAATTCTAATGCTGTTTAATTTTTATTGTTAGGTATTTTGAGGTGAACGTCGTAGGTACATTGGCAACAGTTATGACAACATATAAAAAAATGCGTGACAGGGGAAAAGGTCAAATTGCAAGTAAGAAATGTTTTTTGATCATAATTTTTTTCTTTTACACAAAAATATATTTTAAAAAACCAAAAATGTTTATGTATATAAAAACATACAAGTTACTTCATCAATTGGCGGACATTTTTCAATGCCACAAATGATCTTTTACAATTCAACCAAAGCAGCGCTGATTTCTTTTGCACGCGACCTTCGTTATTTGGCTGCACGAAGTAATATAAAAATCAATCTTATCACACCAGGACTAATTGATACCAGTGATCCAAGACAACCAGTTCAACTTCCAAGAATTTTCAAATCATCTCCTAGATCATTGGCAAAAATTATTCAATGGCAATTGCTTGAAAATCGATTTGAAATTACTTGGCCTTTCGTTGAATATTTGCCGGCCTATGCAACTAGTATTTTACCACCTAGGGTTTTGGAATTGGCTACTTATATATTTGGAGTAGTTACCGGGTTCATTACTGGTACTGGTAATGTTGCTTGGACATAAGAAAAAGTTTTGTTTGGTTGAGATGAATTATTATTATTTTTTCATTTATAAAAATATTCACACATATAGATATATGTGTGTGTTTTATTGCTGTTGATTATTAATTAAGAATTTTTACAAATTTTATTGCTTTCTATGATAAATAAATAAATAAAATTTTTTCACCGTAAAGTTTTTTTTGTTATATTCCTAAATAATGAAATAAAAATTATGAACGATCCTTTTTCACTCGATTGCAAATAAATTTATTGGGAACATCATATAATGAATAACCAGTTATTTTAAACCTTCCCAGATATTTTTATATTGTGTTACGAATTGACTGGTGTTGTAACGAGAGGCTTAGAACAGACTTGATGCACAGCAACGGCAATGGATCCTGAGGTTTTATAGCAGTACAGTTAATACATTCTATGCTTTGATACGATAATCCTAAGGGATTGTGCAAGCCTAGTGTACCATATACAATACAAGTCTGTGAGGAACTATCTTGAAATTAAAAAAATATCTTTGGATTAGTCACCTGATTGTACTACCTTACATTTTTTTTTAAAGGAGTAATTTTTATTGTCAATGTAATGATAATAGATAACCTTATTATTATCATAATATTTATTATAAATTGCAAAAAAGAAAAAAACTCAATCCATTATTCTCATATATATATGAAATTTCTTTGCCTCTAAAGTATTGTTTTTTTAAAAAATTGCTTATCTTAACCATCAACAGATGTTAAAAGGTATGATGATGATTCATTTGCTCTTTTGGTTTTGATGACACTCTGCACATTCAAAGGAGAACAAGTGGCTTTGTAAGCTATGCCATTTAGTAACAAGATACTTTTTTTGACAATAATAATTGTCGTAATGATTAATGATAAATAAATAAATAAATACACAGCCATTCAAAAAAAATAATTTTTTCTCTCAAGAAAAAAAAACCCCCAACACTGTAATAAATAACAAATAAATTTTATTATCCATGGAATGTATTGAAGATGATGATTGCGAATTTTACAATGACGATGTAATATGTTTAGAAGGAGAATGTGTTTTTAAATGTTCAAGGGACAAAGATTGTTTTCCAGAAGGCAAATGTATATATGAAATATGCAATTGGAATGATAAAAAAACCCCAAATTCACAGTCTTTAGATTCATGGTTGAAAATAGAAGCAGATCCAATAGCAACAACAATTACTGCACCTGTAACTGCTACATCAATTACATCCACCGGCATTACCACATCAGTTAGTAGTATAAATTCAAGTAATAATACTACTACCAATTCTACTAGTGACAGTAATACTAATAATAGTTTGGCGTTGAATGCACCGTTTGCAAAAACAATTTTGGGAATTACTATCAGCGTTCTATTGATCGGTGTAATATTTATTATAATTTGCATTTATAAAAGACGACGAAAAGAAAGTATGCATCGTGGATTAAGACCTTTGAAATTATCACATACAAGAACCAGCAGCAGCAGTAGTTTGGATGGAAGCCGTCGTCGTAGTGGATCAAAAAGTAATATTATAGGTGAAACTACTACTGCCACATCACTATAAAAACTAAATCTACCATTATAACTATTATAATTACAATCGCAATTTACGTCATAACAATTACATTGCTAACAAAAATTGGAGGAAAAAAATACACATGTGAGAAAAATTATGAAGAAGAGGATGATGACGACTAAAGCATTCTTCATTAAAACATGATCGCAAACAATGTTTTTATAAAATATATGTTGTTTTTTTTTGTACATTATTAATTACGTCGAAAATTAAATATTTAATATAAAATGGAAACTAACAAAAACTATTTATAATTATAATTATTCTTTATATTTTTTTATTTTTTTACTATGTAAGATTTATATTCATAGAATTCATTAAAACTTTTGAAAATCACGTCTTCAATTTCTTCCGATTTATTTAAAGTAGATGTGAAATATGGTTTCAATGTTTCTCCAAATTCTTTCAAACAAAAAAAACCATCAATGAAATTTATAATTATTATTTTTAAAAATTTTTTCACTAAACTTCCAATAAATAATTACCTAATGGAAAACCTCAAATACCTTTTCGATTTCATTCCGCAAAAAAATCCACACACACAAAAGGCCCTCCATAAACATACGTTCATTACAAAGTATTTTTGCACGAATGGACCGATTGATTGTAAATTTTATCCATTCACCAGGTTTAGTGACACATAAAATTTTGTAGATGATTAATTAACTTTAATAAAGGCCATGCTTTGTAGCTGTTCACTTTTAAAAATCAAGAAATTCCGCGCCAACAAATGATGAATCTGGTAGGTTTCTGCCATATTCATCAACCAACAGGTCTAATTATGTAGATAATTATTGATTATCTAATTAATAATAAATTAATAATAAAATTACCTGATACCTAATGCACATAAGCGACTATATTGGAATTGACTTTAGACGGGAGCCGAGAATTTTCCTTCCCATGCATGTTCATGAATTATTTCTTCGACTTACATATTTCCCAACGACTAATTTTAAAAAAATAATGATTTTTTGTAAAAAATCACTTGGGTTTTCAATATTTATGTAGAGGGATGTGCTTATTTTTTGTTGTATTTTGCAGTGATTTTAAGTATTAAAGGTGGCTGTGCAATATTAAAGCTGGCTTCTTTTTTACCTTTGCATCATTATTCATATTAATAAAAAGAAAATATATGGCCTCACAAAATAATATGGAAAAACAGTATGTTTAAAAATACTACTAATATTAATAACTGTTTTTCTCAAAGATGTCATAAACTTTTTAGTGTTACATAATATAAAAAAGTATATGTACATATTAAAATTATAATTAATTATTAGAATAATAAAAATCATGTATTTACAAAAAAAAATAATTAAAAAAATAAATATTAAGTAAAAATGGCTCTCTTTCCTAACTCAAATTTATCAATAACTTTATTATTAATATCATAAACTACCCAAATCAATTTATCAGACCAAATTTCAATCAACACGTAATGATGAATTTTTTTAACAATTGAATAAATTTTCCAATCTTCAACTCTCTCATAATCTAATTCGCCACCTGCACCACCAATTATGGTGTAAACAGTACCATCGAATTGACCACGTTGGTAATTATGTTGATGTCCACTTATCACCAAATCAACTTCATATCTTTGAAATAGAGGTACATACCTCTTCCTAACAAAATCACCCCAATATTTTTCTGATTTCTCATTCCAGGATTTTGGATCCCAAAATTCAACAAATGGTGGTATATGTACCACCACAATACGAAACTTGGCCAATTTTGATTCGATTGATGACAACTCTTTTATCAACCATTTATCTTGTAACTCATCATCAATATTACTATCCAATACTATCCAACGTGTATTTGCTATAGTGAATGAATACCATAATTTATTTGTTGTGTAATGGTAATTTAACAATGGATTAAAATCATGGTTACCATGAGCAAAAATCATTGGTGATTTTTGGATTAATTTATAATTGATTAATGGATCAAAAAAATCAGTTTGCCATTGCTGTAAACTATCAAATTTCTGTACAGGATCACCAACATGTAATATAAAGTTAGGTTGATTGTGCAGTATTGATGCTGATTTAACAATTTTATTAAATGTTTTTAAATTATATTGATTATCAGAAAATCCCAATATTTTTATAGGATATATTGATGATAGTGATGACGATGACATGGAAGGTAATGACATGTTGGAAAGTGATGATGATGTTGGTGACGATGGTAATGATAAATTAGGAAATAGGGTAAATGTGCTTGATGCAATAATAATTGGTTTATAATTGATATTGTTTGCGCAATTTCCATTTGGTTGATGAATTATTTCATATTCATATTTACCAATGCTCTTAAATGGTCCAATTAATGACTTGTATAAATAATGTGAACTATCTATTTCTAAAGGTTTTAAAATACTAGAAATATTTAAAAAAATTCTACCATCATTATTAACTTTATTATTATTATTATTGTTATTATTATTATTATTTATCTCCTTCTCTTCTTCAACTTCATCATCATCATCTATTTTCTCATTCTCATCATTTGATGAAGATGTATCACCATCAGTCTTTATTTGTTTTTCAATCTCTTCATTAGCTAAAACTGCAGAAAAAAAAATATACCGAATTCCTTGTGAATCAAAATATTCTGCCCAAGTATTTCTATGTATATATATATATATATTATTATTATTATTATTATTGCTATTTATCTAAGACTTATTATTATATTTATTTTTTTTTATCACCTTTGTTTACTAGTCAACAAATCAGCTTTATTAATTAATAAAAGATTCTTTTTTTTTTCATCAATTTCCTTAACGTATTTTTCCAAATCAATTGAACGAAAGAACAAAGGATTTCTAGCATCTACTATCTGAACAACTAAATCTGATCTTTCTATTACTCGCCATAATTGTCTCCAAACTTCTATATTTCGTTCAAACGGTGTCAACAAGAATTCATCTTGTTCTTGTAAACTATTTTTTTTTTTTTAAAAAAAATAAATTATCTTTTTTTTTTTAAATAGTTTTGTTATTTGTATTTATATTTGTATTTACTGTGCAAGTTTACGTCTCCATCTTAGGAATGATTCTTTTTCTTCATGTTCTAATTGTTCAGGGGTTGTTGATTTATCCCATTTGGGTCTTTTATAGAAAAATTTTATGTAAAATCAGTTTATCAATTTTATTATAATATTAATAAATCAATTTCCTCATCTACTAATTCACCATTCTTTCATTTATGTACCTTCTAGGTATAACCAATCGTTCTTTATTAGCTTCATGTCTTGCCAATGTTTCTTTTTCTTTTTCAGAGCTCAAAAGAAACGGATTCTCATAATGATTTGTCACTACCTTAATATTCAACCTTTCTACAAAATAAAACAAAAAACTATATAAAATTGAATTTATATAAATTTTTTATTTTTTTATTTTTTTATTTTTACCAGCTGTAAATTGTGTTCCTGCTAATTGTGCCGTACTAAGAAATTCATCCAAATCTTTTTGATGTGTTATTGATTGTAAGTTTGTCCAGCTAGGCCCATCGTTTAAGTCAGTTGTATGCTTATTAATAATAATGATGATGATGATGATGATGATGATGATGATGATGATGATGATAATTGGTAATGCAATAATAATAATTAATAATTCTTTTTTTTAAAGGAACAAAAAAACAGACATTAATATCATGATATCATCACGTTGTTGTATATTACCAATGCAGTATCGCCATCTTTAGGTTTATGACCTTTAAATCTATCTTTAATAATTGTTCTACCGAGGCCAGAGTTCTTCTTAAGTTTTGGTTGTGGCATATTTTTTCTTCGATATTTTTTATTATTATTATCTAAATAATAAATATCTAAAATGATCTGCAACGATTAAAAACAAATTTTAATGCATTATTACGTCTTATTTATTTTGAAATTGGAATTATTTATTCATTTACGTGGATGTATTTTTTACGTGGTTTAATTATAAATAAAAAGGAATAAACTAGCCAAGGTACACTCATCCAGAATAGAAGATCACAATCACCCACTTGATCTCTTAAGAACAAGATAATGAATGGTTCTACACCACACCATTATTATTATCGACATTAGATATTTGGATTTATGTTAACTGGAGGTAATAAATATTAGTATTATTATGGTTGATCGTACTATTGTAATTAATATTAAAATGGATGTTTAATTGATTCATGACGTGATTTATGTTTAAGAAAAATTTTCAAGTCTTTAGATGATGATATGGTAGCATTGGTGGTTTTAATTTTTCTTTCTATTCTTCTCTTTCCTACGATGTTGCCACCTACCCACGGCATTCTAGATTCCCTTTCAATTTATTAATAATGAAATTTTGGTGAATCATGCGGGTCCAACAAATGAAAGGGCGGCGTGAGTATATTCTCATCAACAAGATTGATTAATTGTTTTTTTATTCGTAACTATTATCATTAATTTCATTTTATTTTAATGTAAAATAGTCAAAAAAATAAAAATCATGACATTGACGACAAAAAATGATGGTAGAAAATTGACTAGACCTGGTACATTTGATTTTTTACAATCATCTGATGAAGAAGATTATGATTATAATAATTTATTATCATCAGTGAATGAAGAATAGGGTGATGATGATGAAGATACTTCCTTCAACAAATAGGGGTTTTTTAAGCAGGGTTGGCAATGAATCCGGCCCATTGAAGCTGATGTATTTTGGCCGGTCTATTAGCATTAGTAAAATATTGAATATGTTTAATATGATATGCCAATAGTTTCAATGGACTGGTCCATTGCCAGCCCTGGTTTGAAGCGCACATCTTCTCTTTCGGAACCAAATAACAATACTTCTAGTACGTTTGTCGATGGGTGCCTGGTTCTCTCGTCTTGATCGTTTTTCAAAAAGAATAATTCGCGTCCAAAGAAATAAAAAAAGAGGGACTTATTCGTACAACACATGGTATAAATAGATTTTACCATTCAGTATAATAGATAACCTGGATGAAGATGAACTTTTGGAACTTTTGGAAGCATTCGATGAATTAAATTTTAAAGGGTTGATTGATTATTTACAAAGTTATTTGATCAATGAAAAAAAATAAATGGATTCAAGAAAACATAGCTTGCGTTTGTAAAGTTTCATCAAGACATCAATTGTTTGGTTTGTTCCGGGATTGGCAATAGACTGGTCCATTGAGATCAAAGAGTTTTGGTCTGGTCCATTACAATGATTATTGCAAGGAATTAATTTATAGAAACCCGAAATGGTTTAAAATCCAATGGTTGAAGAAACATAACTTGTTGGAAAGAGATGATTTAGAATTAGATGAGATTGATATTTGGAATTTCAATTTGTTAGATTTAACAACATTTCCTCGGGTGACTTTTATGAGAAAATCAGGCCATAAAGCTTTTAATAATGAATTATATGAAGAACTCTCCAACATTATTCTAATTCTGAAAAGATTATAACCCAAGTTACATCTTCAAAAGGGTCCAAGGACAAAAATCGAGAGGGAAAGTTGTTAAATTTGAAATTAAAAATTGATTTGATTGGCCAGAAAAATATGGTCATTATAATGAAAATAATGCACCATATAATTTTAGATTAATTTATATTGGAAGTCAAGATGGATTCCCAAAATCGGTTTTTGAGAATAAATGTTTTGACATTGCCATGAATATTAAAAAAAACGGGTGAATTTGGGTACAACAATTGTTGCATTTTAAGAATTTATTTCCAAAATGCTATGACAATTTTCTATAATTTTTTAACTAACAACTAGAATCAACGTCATTTTTTTTAATAGTGACGAGTAAAAAAGCTCTTAAATTTCTCTTGCTCTAACAATATTTGCCTGCTTTTGTCTTCTGCTAGTAATAGTAATTTATAGATCACGGGAAATTCGTAAATATAAGTTACGTGACGAAGATCAACACGCATTTATTAACATTAACATAATAATAATCACTATTATTAATATTAATATGTAAATAGAAATTCCGATGTGTGTAATAAATTCAAGCATTATTAATCCAAAATAAAACTGTCATATTGATAGAAGTTCTATATGTAAAGATGGCAAAAAGCAAAATTCATTTATATTTTTTTTCATATATTCATGTATTTATCAATACACAAAAAGGAAAAATAAACCGGCTTTCTGAATGTTAAGCCATAATTTTTTTACTTTATTATTATAAGCAATTAACTGAAATCACTTCTATTTGAACTGCTTCAATAATCTGAATTTTTATTTAACAATTAGACATTATAATAAATAATTACAGAGCCAATCATATTAATATTAACATTTACGGTAGTCGAAATTATTTACTATTACGGGTTTTAACTCCCATAATAGTAATAGTAATAATAATAATAATAATAATTAATTACGGATTTAGAATAATAACTCCGTAATAATTACGAAGTTGATTCTTATTAATATGAAACAAATAATATCAAAACAATTCATTGGCACGGTAAATATGGGTGATTTTAACTCCGCTTACAAGCAATTAAATTCACCGATTCTTGGTATTGGTTTTTTAAAAACAACAGTTTGATTTGATTTTTAATTTGCAAGCTCCAATTCATTTTTCTTGTACAACTAGAACTGTTGGTTTATTTTCATTTCATTCATTCATTCATTCAGATTACTAACATTTTATGATGCAAGTCACTTAGTCCCATAACTTTTTATTGGTCGTGTAGATTTTCAAATTCTCCAAAAATGGAAATGCAAAACCCCAAAATAAATCGTGTATTTGAAGCCAAGACCTTCCTCTACAAAATCACGATTTGCACAAGTTTACCGAATTTACTATGTTTAGCCCTAAAATGACGTGTTACACACAAAAAGTTAATATCAAAAATAGACGAATTGAAACAAAATAAAAATTGAAAAATTTCCAGATCTTTTGTCACGTGAATTTTCCAGATGAACGGGAAGAGAATTATCCTTTATTATTAAAAAAAATAAATACAAAGTTCATTTATTTTAAATCTAATAAATAGACTATTGCATTAATCAAAGAAATGTGCAATTTGCAAAATATTCTAATGAACGTTTATCAATTATTTAATAGTTTGTGTAGGAGTAATCGAAGTAAGCTTTAAGGACAAGCAAGATCTATGAACAAAATATACTAACGAAGGTTTTATCAATCATTCAATAGTTTATATAAATTTCTCTTTTATTTTAACTAATATTTAATAACATCACTATAATCATTATTGTTGTTGTTTATTGTTCTAATCATCATTTACATATCTACAATAAATGTAAAAGAAAAATTAATATATTTATTTAGCACTTGACAATTTTCAAAAATCATGTGACTGTAAAATTTTTATTGCATTTTTGATTGGAAATTTTTTCTCAAAATTGGCGGCGTGGCACAGAAAGTTGTGGGACTAAGTGACTTTGCACTATACACATGTAAATTCGATAAGTCGGTCACTTTAAACAATTGATTGCTAGAATATTTTGATGTCACTGGTAAAACAAAATAAATTTAATTTATCTAAAACTGTAAGTCAAATTTTATTTTTTTAACTGGTATCTAACACAAACGGTTTTGTTTCTAAATAGATAATATTAATATTACAATTAATAAATAATTATCTCTGGATTGTACATCATCACCTAGAGTTTCTATTCGTAATAGTAATACAATTCATCATTTTATTCGAATTATTTATTTATTTATTTATTATTATATTTATTCGGATTATTCGAATTATTCGTTTTATAATGTATAAAATATTAATATTAAGCCACAACTTGATACAACAAATTCTATATTATTGTTGTTGTTATTGTTTCAATTACTATTCCTGCCACTATTTATTATTATTATCACTATATACTACAAAGGAAAAATAGATTGATAAAGACAAATATTTTGTTTAGATATTAATATATTATTTTATTTGGATCATTAATTTTAGAATTATTCGTTTTATTCGAATTATATTGTTAGTATTAGAATTCTTTTCTTGCAAGGAGATGTAACATATTTAAATCAAAATTATGATAAAGTTTGATCATGAAGCTATAAGTTTTGGCTAATAAGACATTGCGATGATTCAAATAATCGTAGACCTATTGAATTATTCAAATTAAATCGGGAAGGAGATATATTAAAATCAAGATTTAAATGAACTGATCGATCTACTTGATGGTTTCGATTATCTATATGAACTTTGTACATGTTGATTCATTCGCTAATGAAAACAACATTTATAAAATAATCGAATTTTTTTATACTGTTTAAACAAGACAAGATGATTTAAATAAATTTTGGCATACCAGCGGCAAGTTTCATTTTTATTATGCATTACTACTACTACTTATTGGTCCAATTACGTACGTTCACATCAATGTTTCTCCACGCCATCCAATGATGATATTGTTTAGAATGAATCTCAGTTGCTATATCTTGTTTTTTCAAATCTTGGCGAAATTGTGGATTTTGAAGAAGATTTAAAAAGTGAAGTGCATGAAACGTTGAATTTGTTTTAGAATGAATAATTACCAATCAATGTAAATTTTAAAAATATCATGTTAATATTTTTTGCATATTCAGGGTCGTTTCCAATATTTAAATAGTTAAGAAACGCTCGATCTTGAAAATAGTCTTTTTGAGCTAAATCTTTTACATCAAATCAGTAAAAGATATATAAAAAATATATATTATAATCCTAATAATTTCACAAATCATGTAAATATCATGGATTTGCTAAACATTGAATAAATACTAATTCTATTTGAAAACGTCTTTTATTTTGCTCTTCTGTAT